TTCTATAGAACCAAGTCCCTCTGCCTGTCTGTCAAGTACTTCCTCAGTTGTGTATTGAACTGGCCCTAGAATCTGTTGGAGCTCATAGGATAAAGAACTGGTAGAAAAAAGCGCTCCTTTATTCCAAATACACACCCCACTTTCCTAGGGTAAGCATCTGGGTTACACTCGTCCTTGGGGTGACTGACCAATTCTACACCCATCCTGCTACGGGATCCATGGTGCAGACCAAGACTTCACAAGGGCTGCAAGTATTTCCCTATCAGGGTATAGAACTGCAACCAGATGCCCACTGGTCTTCACAGCTGCTTATGAGGCTGCTGCAGGCCATACCAAAACTGTCCTAGGCTACTTGGATCTCCAGCCTAAGGGTGAGAGCTGACTCTACTACCTACAGGAACTGAATTTGATAAATGGCTCTCTTGATGATCTAAAAGTCCTGTTCAGCTACTTCTGTTGAGTCCCACTGTGCCCCTTTGTTCACTAGGGCATAGACAGGATGAACCAATTAGGCCAAATGGGGAATAAAAACTTGCTAATACTCAATAAGCCCATATGGGTCTGCAATTGCCTAACTGTTGTTGGTTGGGGCTATGCCTGGATTTATCAATAACAGCTTCAAGCACAACCTTTGTCTTACCTAACCAAGTCACACCCAAGAACTTGACTGACAAGCCAGGTCCTTGCACATTGGCTGTATTTCCTGCCCAAACATTTCCAAGTGGGTCACTAAAGTTGGGGCCACAAGCTCTTAGTCTGCAAGAGAGTCAGAAGTCAACACATCAGCAATACAATGAAACATGTATGGTGGACAGCTGAGTCCACAGGCTACCAGAGCATGCCATATGGTCGGGCTATGTCAATAACCTTGTGGCAACACTTGAGTGTCCATTGTTAGCCTTCCTGGGTAAAGGCAAACTGCTCCTGACTTTACAAGTTCAGAACAATAGAAAGGAAAGCATTAGCAATATTCAGCACATAACAACATCTCCCCAATTGAAAAGTCAATTGGTCCCTGAGATCATGCACTGAGGGAACCCCTGCATTCAGAGAAGGAGCCATTTCATTCAGTTCTCAAGAATCCACAGTTATTCTCCAAGGACCAGCAAATTTCTTAACTGGCCACCCTGGAGAGTTAGAGGCTCTACATTGGTCATATTATGCCCACGTTCTCCCATTCCAGGAGAGTAGCTCCAATTTCTGCATGTCCCCTTGGGAAGTGGTAATTCTTCACCACCAGGGTCCTCCAGGGTTGTGGCAAGACCTGGGGTGGGTGTTTGTCACATCCTATCAAAACCTCCTTCACAATTTGCACACAGAGATGGAACTGCCCCATTATGGTCTGCAGTCACAGTCTTTGAAACACATCTACACCCAAGATGAACTTCGGGATAGGAGACATGTGCACCATGTATGCATGATTGGTACCTAGTGGTAAGGATGTTGTGGTGTGAACTGATAAATACAATCAATAAGAGTGTAACTTATAGGTTATAGATTAGAACAAATATATATATCAGTAATAAATATAGATCATAAATATAAGATTTTGATAAGTGAGATAAGTTTCGCAGTGCTGGTGCATACAGAGCCTGCTGAAGTTCAGGACCAAGCTATACCAGTGTGGTATCACCACACAGGAAGCCACCACTGGCAGCTTTCCAGGACTTATAAAGTAAGAACTGTCATAGACACCCTAAGACTCCATTTTGCTGCCTTCTGTAAAAAACAAACAAACAAACAAAAACTGTTACAAGAGCTGTTCCTGAGAAACTGAAATGAAATCTGTCTTCTTATAAAAATTGTCTTTCTGTGCTTTGTACCCGAAAAACTGTACCATACTCAGGATGCAGTGGTGGTCAGTGGTCGTGGTGAGCTACATACCCTTGTGGGTCTACATGGCTTTGAAGTAGAGTCTTGCCCACTGACACCTGCACATTCAAGATACGACTGTCTAGCACCTGCTTGAACCCAGGACTGTGGTCAACTGATCTACAAAGCTAATGCTTTTTTAGCTTCTGTTTATAACTTGCCTGCCCAGAGCCCACAGGTCCCACTTATTAATGTTTTCATTTCTGTGATTGGGTAGCTCACATGATGATAAGCAAGTCACTGAGCTGTGGTTTTTGTGCTTATATTCTCCTTGGATGGACCAGGAGGCTGCTGTTCTCCCACAGAGTTTGAGCCTCTGAGGTGGGTGACAGTCCCTGGCCAGGTAAATAAAGCTCTCTTTTGATTTGAATTCGGGCTGCTTTCTGAGGTGTCTCCCCATAACAAGGACACTGACACCCTCTCCCTTTCTACTTCCTAATCAGGGACATTTCTCTTGGGGGGTCTTATGGGTTGTACTCCAGAGGCTGCAAACCGTCTTGGAGAGCTGTTTTGTACTGGACAGTCAGGGAGAGGGGGAGCTGGGGAGTACGGATGCCTGCCCAGCTGGTGTCCCAAGCTGGGAGTTGCCACAACTAAAGATGGCAACGCTGTCCCAAAATGGAGGTGGCTGCTTTCAGTGAGGGAGTGTCAGGTCGGGTAGGGGAGGCGGTGCCACTGGGCGATGTGTTCAAAGATGCAGCTCAAACCCAGTGCAGGCAGGTGTCAGCCGGGCTGTCCTGGACCTGCCTGGGCTCCCAGCTCTGCTTGCTGCTTCTTGACTAGTTTGTTTCCCACAACACAACTAGACACCCAGATGATAACAGTGTCACATTTTAAACATGTAAACAATGTAGAATGATCATGTCAGAAAAATGTGGTACCCATCACCTCAAACATTCATCATTACGTTTTGGGGGGAACATTGAAGATCCACTCTTCTAGCTGTTTTAAAGTACACAGCAAATTATTACAACAGTAGTCCACTTTATGCTGTGAATAGAGCCCTTGCTGCTCAGCAGCTGTGACATATTTTTAAAACAAATCTCTTTCTCTTCCTCTCTCCCTGCTCCTCCCTAATCTCTTCCCTCCCTAATCTCTGGGGAAACAGGATTACCTTTCTCCCCCATCCCAGGCAGAGTTCTCTGTCCTCCAGCACACACCCACCACAGGGACAGGTAATTCAGACTTGGGGATGGCACCAGAAGATCTCAGAAATGACTGTCTCCCACATTAACAAGTGAATTACAACTCCAGACAGAAGACATGGAAAGTAGCCTTTAAACCACTTCTTTAAAAAGCCCCATGTTTCCTTTGACAGGCAGAATCACAGCCTTTGAGACAAGCATTTCCTGTGCTGCTTCTCCTTTGCAAACAAAGGAATAAAATTTCTTTTTCCCTTATTCTCAAAACCGCATCTTCATTATTGAATTATCACTGGGGACAAGAATGGAGCTTTCAGTAACAGGAGCTTTCAGTAACAGGTTGACATCTTGTTTCCCACCATGTTTCATCATGAATGAAGGTAGCCAGGTTAGGGGAGGGAGAAGGATGAGATTTTAGAATAGGTACAAACTTTCAATTTGGGATGATGAAAATCTCTGGAGATGGGTGTCCCTGATGGTGCCACAACAATGGGAATGTAATCAATTCCACAGATATTGGACAAAAGCATGGAGAAAATTGTGATATTTAGTGTATACTTATCCATAATCACTAATGGAAATAAGATGCAGACAAAGACTTTCAAAACATAAGCAAGACACAGAAAGACTAGTGTCATATATTCTCTCCGATATGTGGAAACTATAATAGTGATGACCCTGAACTGGAAGCCTGTTTGCACAGGGGGAGAAGGAGGAAGGATGAAAGGCAGGGACCAAGCTACCCTGTATGCAGGTATGCAAATGTGGCACTGGACCCCGTGAAGTGTGCAAGTCCTAGGTGTTAATAACAGACACTGGAGATGTGGACAGCGTTCTGCTGAGGACAGGAAGGGGTCACTTTCTTTATTTTTCTCTCATTTTTTAAATTTGGTGTGTGTGTTTGTGTGTGTGTGTGTGTGTGTGTGTGTGTGTGTATTAGGCTGTATTTTGAGATACATGCATGGAGTATAACTTTTTCTAATTAAGATCTCATTCTTGTGGTTGAACATCATGTGGAGTTACATTGGTCGTGTATTCATATATGAACATAGAAAAGTTATGTCTGATTCATTCCACTGTCTTTCCTATTCCCATCCATCTTCCCTTCCCTTCATTCTCCTTTGTCTAATCCAATGAACTTCTTCTTTTTTTTTTTGGCAGTGCTAAGGATGGGACCCAAGGCCTTGTGCATGCAAGGCAAGCACTCTATCAACTGAGCTATAGCCCCAGCCTCTAAAAGAAGAACTTCTATTCTTCCCTCCATCCCCCCATTATGTGTTAGCATCTGTATATCAGAGAGAACATTTGATCTTTTTGAGGGGGGGGATTGACCTATTTCCCTTAGCATGACAGTCTTCAGTTCCACCCATTTATTGGCAAATACCATAATCTTATTTTCTTTATGGTTGATATATATCACATTTTCTTTATCCATTCATCTATTTAAGAGCAACTTGGTTGGTTCCATAGCTTAGCTATTGTGAATAAATGCTATAAACTTTGATGTGGCTGCCTCACTCTAGTATGCTGATTTTAAGTCCTTTGGTTTTTAAACTGAGGACTGGGATAACTGGGTTAAATGGTGGTTCCATTCCAAGTTTTCCGACAAATCTCCACACTATTATCTAGAGTGGTTACACTAATTTTCAGTTCCACCAGCCATGTAAGGGCTCATCAATTCTCTCTTGTTTGTTTTCCTCCACTAATTTTAGGTAGTCCTGAGAGATTTGGAGAACAAGAATGAATTTGCCTGATTATGAGCCCTGTGCATGGAGCCTCCAAGGTCATATAATAATAATTGGATTCTCTCCATCCCTTCAGCTTTATCATGCCAGTCCAGAGAGTCCATTCCTGTGTCTTCTCCAATATTTGTCTGCCTCTGGAAGATCCTGTCAGTCACTGACTTCATCTGTATCCCGAGGACAGAAAACAAGCCTCAGATAGTGATTTGGCCGAGGAGGGGCACTGGATCCTCAGCCCAGGGCCATGAGCCAGCAGAAGCCCAGCATCATCGGGTAAGTGTTGAGGGAGATGAAGGACGATGAGGAGCCAGCATCGGAGGCTTGTTTCCTAAGGATCAGGACAAGCATGCAGTCAGTGCAGCCAGAGGAGAGGACAGCAGTGGACTAGGCTGTGAGGACTGGGAAACTTGGATTCTGGTTTGTGCTCAGGGTCTCAGAAATCTCATTAGATGTTTCTCCTTCCACCACAGTGGTTCTCCTGCACATAGATATATGTCATATATATATATATAAAAATATATATATATATATATATATATATATATATATATGTGTGTGTGTGTGTGTGTGTGTGTGTGTATCAGATCAGAAGCACACATTATTAAATGTTTGTATTTAACATATGCAGTGGGTACTATTACCAATAACAGGTAGTATTAATGGAACATTTAATAAGTGCCTGGTAATTTCAAAGCAGTGATTCTCAAAGCTGATATAAAGAGGACCACCAATCCCTTTACATGCAGATATTTTGATAAAATTGATTTGGAGTGAAATTATAGAATCCGTATAAAATAAAATATACACAGATACATACATTGATGAATGAAACTTGAAATCCAGTCAACTTAGGATATTTTTATACATCTTGCTTACAAAATAGAAATGCAAAGAAGGTAGAAGGTATTAGTGATACTAAGGATAAGATGTAAGGGGAGGCACTGATCAAATTATGGTATGTGTGTGCACAAGTGTGCAACAGAGAAGTTCACCGTTCTGCATAATTAACATGCACAATGAACACCTTACCTAGAACTCAGCTTTGAAATCATCTGGTCCAGAGCTAGGGTTGTGGCTCAGTGGTAGAGCACTTGTCTAGCATGGGTGAGGCACTGGGTTGATCCTCAGCACCACATAAAAATAAATGAATAAAATAAAGGTACTTTGTCCATCTATAACTAAAAAAAAAATTGAAAAAAAAAAAACCCTAAAAACCATCTGGTCCAATTGCCTTTATAATGATAGTTGACAGTCCCCTTTTGATATGGTAATTTATATATTTATGCATATTTGACACATTGAGTTTCATCTGAATCTCATTAAAAAAAATCTTTCTTACCAAAACCCTATTAAATGGATAATTATTATTTGTATTTTAAAGATGAGAAAACTGCATCACTGTTTGCACATAATTTCTGGTCTTTTGTTTTTGTGTTTTCCACATGACATCATGGTTTGAGCTGATATATATAACATACTTGAGTTGTTTTCCAGTAGCTGAAATAGGGGACCTGCAGTCCACAAATCAGGCTTCAGTTATAAGTTCCTCATCGTACATAGTAATTATGCAGAAAGGTAAGTGAAACCTATTAACTAGGCACAAAGAGGTTTCAACTTCCAACTTACATTTATAATTTGGGAGCCCCTTCTTGGCTCTAACGTTTTCAAATGAAAATGAAAGTTTCATGATCAAGAAAAATATAATGCAGCAGTGTTAATAGGCCATAGTAGAATAAGAATCAAGAGAAAATCCTCTGTCTTCCTTTGATGCTTCATGCTGAAATAATATGGAATTGGACCAAAATACAAATAATTGCTAAATATTTAAAAAATTTTTAAAAAAGAGTTTCTTAACATTGCATTATCTTTAACTATTGACTGACATTTGAATTGTATAGTAATGACACATTTGTGATTATGATTTCTTATTACTATGTCATTTAACCAAACCTTCAATATGTGAAGATCACCACAGCCAGGGTCAGTATATTTTTACATCAAATAATTTTTAAAAGCCAAAAAGTTGAGATAAGGCCTACATATTCACAAAAGAGGACACAGTGCATAAATGTATCCTACTGTCATGTATAACTCATTAACACAAATAAAACAATTAAAGAAAAGAATTATTTAAAAAAACCTCCTGGGAGATGACTGTTAAATAACAATGATTTTTGATAACAAACTATTCAAATAACATACTTGTAGCTCCAATACAGGATATACAAACATTTTAAGGAAGATAAATTTTTCCATTATCATAGATAAAAAGGTGTCCTTGATAATTTCTTAAATGGCAATTATTTTTTTCCTAAATGGTAATTCCCAATTACTACTTTTCTTAGAACAGTAGTTTTAATTTTTCTGGGAATATGGACTTATCTGTAATTTTGTTGGTTTTCTAACATTGCTTTGATCAGTATCACTAATGTAGGTTTATATATAGTGTGGTGAATAATAACAAACAAAAATGGAGAGGTCTAAGAACACTGGGTTTGTTAAAACTCAGAAATATACCTGAAGATATATAGAAATCTATGTGAACACTTCAGTTGAGAGTTCTGAAATTCAAAACATATACAGAGTGGTGGGTGCCTGATATTTCCTTTATTTAATCTAATCTATCATTATTTTAATGCCTTATTTTCCAATTCCAAAGGTGTCCAAAAAATGTAAAACCCCAAAACTTAACATCTATATCAGAATTCCTCCTCCTGGGCCTCTCAGAGGATCAAGACCTGCAGCCCGTCCTCTTCGGACTGTTCCTGTCCATGTACCTGGTCACAGTGCTTGGGAACCTGCTCATCATCCTGGCTGTCAGCTCTGACCCCCACCTCCACACCCCCATGTACTTCTTCCTCTCCAATCTGTCCTTGGCTGACATTGGTTTCATCTCTACCACAGTCCCAAAGGTGCTGGTGAACATCCTAACTCACAGCACAGCCATCTCCTATGTGGGCTGCCTGACACAGATGTCTACTTTTATGCTTTTTGTCTGTATGGATGACATGCTTCTGACTGTGATGGCCTATGACCGGTTTGTGGCCATCTGTCACCCCCTGCACTACCCCATTATCATGAACCCCCATCTCTGTACCATCTTGGTTTTGATGTCATTATTAATTAGCCTTTTGGACTCCCAGATACACACTTTAATTGCATTACGGTTTGCCTATTTCAAGGATGTGGAAATTTCCAATTACTTCTGTCACCCTTCTCAAATTCTTAATCTTGCCTGTTTTGATTCCTTTAACAGAAATATAGTCATTTATTTTATTGGTGCTATATTTGGCTTTCTTCCTGTCTCGGGAATCCTTCTCTCTTACTCTAAGATATTTTCCTCCATTCTGAGGATCCCATCCTCAGGGGAGAAGTACAAAGCCTTCTCCACCTGTGGGTCTCACCTGGCAGTTGTTTGTCTATTTTATGGAGCAGGCATTGTAGAGTACCTTGGTTCAGTTATGTCACATTCTCCCCAAAACAGTGTGGTGGCTTCAGTGATGTACACTGTGGTCACCCCCATGCTGAATCCCTTCATCTACAGCCTGAGGAACAGGGACATTAAAAGTGCCCTCAGGAGACTGAACATCAGAACAGTGTAAACTCAGGACCTGTGGCATCCATGTGGGACAAAGGGGAAAAGTGAACAAAAGCATGCTTAAAGCTGGTGAGCCCAGGGTCCTTGGTCACATTATTTCTTAAGTTTGTGTACTTTAATTCCTCAGCAAGCTTGTTAATAGAATGGGTTTTGACACTTATGGGAGAGGTATGAAAGGGGCTTTTTAAAAATGTGTTCAAAATTCAGTTTGGGAATTGAAATATTTTGCGGAGTTCCATGATGGTGATAATTGTGCAACTGTGTTTGTAATTAATGCCACTGGCAATGTATAGTAAAAATGGCAATTGTTTTATGTACTATTTTTTACCACAATCGCCTATGGAAACATAATGAAGTTGACTCTTTAAAAATAAACAAAAATATTAAATTTAGAGGCTTCCTCCTTAGTAGTAGAAGAGTCTAAAATCTGTGTGGACGGTCATTTACTCTTCTTTTTGCTTGGCTACTATTAGGAAGTCCCTGGAGACTTGCATAACATGAATCCATTTGGCCAATGATGAGCTCTGTGCATGGAGACTCCAATGTCCTATTATAATCACTAATCAGCCTGTGCTCCTAGGCCATTGTGTGATGGCTCTGGGCCACTGGGCTCCAACCCTGTGTTCTCCTCCCATGGTTGTCTGATTGGGAAGCCCTTATCTCACACTGCATTCCTACCATCCTGAGGACAGAGCCCAAGCTTTCATTAGACAGGAGGCACAGAGGGACATGCATCCTTCATCCTTGTGCATGACCCAGCAGAGACAGCACCACTCAGGAAGGGCTGAGGGTGAGGATGCGTGGGAAAGGACCATTAAGGGTGTTGCTTCCTCGTTCTCAGGACAGACATAGCATTTTGGGAAGCCTGATGGTAGAATGAAAATACTCAGAGGAATGTAATCTTTGAGGAATGTCAAGTTTTGGTGCCTGGCTGTGGTGGGAGTCTGGTAATGCCAGGCAAATTTCTGCTTTCTTTGATGCTGATTCTCCTGTCTGTTGACATCTCACCCATGAGAGCAGAAGATGGGTCCCTCCAACCTGCCTCCTGGGCACTCCAAAAAGATAACGAAGGTGATGACACAGATGAAGTGGAATGACAGCCTCGAAACCTCATGCAGCCTTATTCAGGGCTTCTGATGCCACACCCTGAGCTCCGTGTCCTGTGGAGTCTGTTTCACTTTATCTCCATAGAGTTCCCTCAGATATAACTGTAGATTGTAATCATCATACAGAAAGAGAAAGAGCCAAGTTTTTGTTTTTGGTTTTGGTTTTATGTTGAACAGACTACACGGTTAAGTAGAGAATATGAAATCATGTTTGAATTTTCCTGCTTGATTAGAGAAACTGAGCATCATATCAGAAAAATCCTGGCAGGTTGAGCCTTGACGAACAAGCCAGCTGTTTTTGTCCATGTCATTCTAGGAAGAGACCCTTGTTCACTGTGTTCTTCCCTTTTGAGGTTCTTGTAGCCCTCAGGGGAGAATGGTGGTTGGAACTTGCTGCCTCTGCTGTGGAAAGGATGACTTCAGGTGGTGGGCAAAGGTCACAGAGAGTGTGGGTGCAGAATAATTCATCCTGAGAATTCAGGTCTCTTTTGTCCCTAGTTCACAATACCTTAACAATCTCTGCATCCTCTTCCTTGTAAACAGTGCTGAATCTCAAGAGGAGACAGAAGCCAGTCGTGGTTGTGGTCCACACGTGTAATCCAAGCAGCTAGGGAGGCTAAGTCGGGAT